AAAAAAATAAAAATATAATTATTTTTTTCAAAAACAAATTTTAATTTTTTGTGTGGAAAGAGGGCGTGGGACAGTCAAGAGTTGAGCGGGGTAAAAAAATAAAAAAAATTCAACTTTGAATTGTTTTTCAAAAATAAGATTTTGAGTTGTTAATTTTTTTTATTGGGAGGAGGGGCTAGTTTGGGTGTAGTAACAAAATAAATTGATTTTTTTTTTAAAAAAAATTTAAAAGTTTTATTTTTTTGAATGGGAAGGGTCGGGGTACGGAGTGAGGTAAGGAAAAGATTATTATTTGAGGAAAATAAGTTTATTTGAGAAATATTAAGCGAACCAAACATAAGAAAATTAAGAAATATTTTCTACAATGAGAGATAAAAAAGGTGATTTTCTTTTTTGAAGGAAAATTTAAATGATTTTGGAGCCAAAATGTTATTTTGGTCATTTACACCTGTCATGTCAATTCCTGCCAAAATTGTGTCCAGCCATTTAGCAATACTGTATAGGATTATAGTCTCATTTCCTCATCTTTCCCGTGTTGTTTAGTACTCCCTTTGTTCTATATTAGTTGATCATTTTATTAAAACTAATTGTTTTATATTAATTATCCATCTTACTAAATAAAAAAATATTAATTAAATTTTTTATTTATTACGTTTGCAATTAATTTTTTTAAAAAGTATTTACATTTGTTTATAAAATTGCCAAAAAGATTTTTAAGGTGTGAATTAATAAATTTTTCTTTTTATTTATGATTTCTTAATATGCGTAAATAAATAAAATAATCAATTAAAATGGGATGGAGATAGTTGTATTAGTCAATATTTCACATGAGATCTTATCCTCCGTTTTTTACTAGTATACATGTTTGTTTATTTATTGAGTGTTTCTTGTTACTCTATTAAAATTATTTTTCTTTCTAATTTTCAATTTTGATTATTTTTCTTTTGAGCCGAAGATATTACTTTGAAAAATAGGATATGCTATGTTAAATTACATTGATGATATAAAAAATTAATTATTTGAATTGTTAATGTATATTATTAATTATTTATATTGTAAGTTACTAATCATATTTATCAGTAATTAATTATTATTTTTAAAATACCTTTTCTATTGTTAGTATATAAAATTTAAAATGCTGAATTTTGTCTCTTGCGGGATTAGTTGAAATGTATCACAATTTATTTTGAAAAATCATTGTTGATTGAACCCGTGATTCAAAATTGATGTAGCTTACTTTTTGACAGAAAAAATGTAGGGTACTTATTAGGAAACAATGAAAGTTTCATTGACTATTGGGTTTTTATATTTTGATTTTCGATCCAAAATGTTAAGAGAATTGTCATTTAGTGCGTGACTTTTGGATTAAGTCACTATGAATTAGATTCACAAAATCTATGCAATTGATTAATATCGCTATTTTAATTTTAAAATGTTGTTTCAATATTGATCTCTTCAAAGCATTGAGGAAAAAAAGTTTGTTTTAATAAAAGAATTGTATTCAGACAATGAGTATCAACAATTATCAGTTATTCAATGAATATTGTATTAGCTGAAAATATATTGTGTTGCTATAAAATAAAACAAAGAATGCAATTTAATAATGTTATTCTTCAATATTAGTTATATATATTGGTGCCGTAAAAGATACCTACTCCATTTATGTGATAACTTTCAAATTTCGAAAGTTAAAATATTTTTTTCTTTGACTATAATAATTTTATATGCCGATTAAATATTTTGATTTATAATATAATATTTTCACTTGGATTTAAACATCTAAATATTATTTCAAAAAATTTACAATCCAAATTCACTGTCAAAACTAAAAGTTTGACTCTTGAAAATCTTACAATATCATAGTGATATGTGTGTTAGGAAAGTAGAGAGTTGAGCTACTTTCAAGATTTTTTGAAAGGTAAAGTTTTATGTCACGTAGAATTGAAAGGTAAATTTGAACAATCTAAAATCGTAAAAGTTTTGAAAGAGAGTGCAAGTTTTCTTGTTGTTTTCAAGTTATGACCATATTTAAGAAAATAATAATTTGGTGGATCCGATTGCATGTCTCCCACGTGTGAAAAATTACTTCCACCAAGATAAATGAAAATAATACTTAATAATTTGTGAGGATACTATTACGCTAAAAGTCTAAAACCTCACTAAATTAATATAGGTGGATCACAAAATATTATTATTTTATAGATGTATTATTTAATCGATAAATTATTATTTATTAATTTAAAGAATGTTTTGAGATTTAACTGTGTGATGCTGGAATAATAAGAGCTTCCAAGATGTATTATCACAACATATTTTAACATAAAATATTAGAAAGCTATAAAGTGGGACAAACGGATCTCGAAAAGATAAATATTTTGGATGCTATCAATTTTGCAATCCCAACATGGACAAAAAATGTTTAGAAAGAAACAATAGCAAATTATTTTCAACACTGCAAAATTCGTTGGGGGGAATGAAGTTCAGAGAATCTGAATGAACCCACTTGTGAAAACGTCATACATGAACTTGGGTCATGATTAATGATCTCAATTACCACAATAAAATGGACGTCAATAACCCGTTGATTATTGGATGAAAATGATATATGTTCAGATGTCTAGAGCTTAGAAGAAATTGATGAAGTTGAAGATGATACAATACATTTGGAACCACTGATGCATAAGGAAACACTTATCACATCTAGAACTCTTCACAATTTTATGGTGCAGTTCGAAAAGACAACATCAAAACTTTTGGATACAATAACAAAAGTTAGAGATGAACATCAACTAGAATTATATTTTAACAAAAAAACAAAACACGGTAGGATCATATTTCACTAAATTGTCTTAGATATATTTGTACTTTTAAAGAAATATTAATTTATAATATTAAAGAGACCATATATTTATATAGGGGTCTCCTGAAAATATACTATCTTATTATCTTATCAAAATGTGAAACTTTTTCCATTAGCCCAAATCGGAGGAAAATATTATTTTAGAGAAATTATTAATTTACCGAATATTAATTTAGTAATGTTTTACTGTATTCCATTCTCATTTTATGTGATAGTTCAATACTCTCAAGAAAATATCACATTTTCTTATTAAAAAAATAGTTTATCATGTGTTTTACTTTGATGATACTACTTCTTAGGACCTATTATTATAAGTAGGTTTTGAGTTGAATCTGAGTAGCTTAGTTGATTGACTATCTGAACTCTCACCTTATTAGTGAGGATTCAATTTTTCATATGGTAATCCCACCCTCATTTCTCTTCTACATATTTTGCATTTTATTCAAAATTTATCAAGTAATAGAATATTGTTTAGTTTCTCTCATCAATACAATTATTTATTTATTTTTAATTATTTTATTCTTTTATTATTATTACTTTTTTATTTCCAATTATCATATTATTTATATTATTTAGTTTTTGATTCTCTTTTACTTTATTTTGAGCATGACTTAATATTGTTGTATTTTCTTTAAGTTCATCTTATCCCGCTTATAATTCTTTTTTGTTGTTTATATCAAAAGTCTATTTATTCATTACAGTTTGTGTACGGTAATTTTTTTTTTGCCATTTTCACGAAAAGAGTATTATAATTCAGAAAATAGCAAGTACGTATTAATGTTTATTCAAATTGGACATAATTCAACTAATCAAATATCAGTGGCATTGTTTAATAATTAATTCAATACTCCAGGGGCATAATTTTAACATCTCAGAAATACCCTTCGTTTGAAAAAAGGACAAAAAGTAGGTCAGCGGCAAAAAAAGGTTGACCGCTCTGACAAACTTTTGGTCCCCTACTTCACTTTTTCAGCTTTTATTTCTATAATATTTAGACCATCTCCAATTCAACACCAAATTTTATATCAAATTTTAAATTTAATGTAAAATTTGGTGTTTTAAGCTCTAATTCACACCAATTTTTACATCAGATTTGATATGTGAATAGCCTGGATTACTGAAGAGTCGTCCGACTTCTCGATGATCGAATAAGAGAGATTTTTTCCGCTTTCTCTTCTCTCCAGCACTCTCGGACTGATCATCTTGCTGCAACAAAGCAAGCTTAGGAATGAATCTAATGGAAATTTAGGTCTCTGTCTGCTTGGAGGATTATTCTTTCCTCCTCGGCGAAAGAGGACAAAAAGGGTGTAATTTGGTGTAACACAATTCATCACACCAATTCACTTTTTGAATATTTTAATATTATTTTATTATACAAACTTTTAGTTAAACATTATATAAATGATATGTTTTAATTAAATCTCTTGTATATTTAATTATTTTTTATGTAATATTTTTATAATATTAATTTTAGATATACAATTTAGCTTTTTTTTATAAATTAATTTTTCTGTATATGACTTTTTAAAAAAATTAAATTTATGTTAATTTTACTATAAATTATAATTGAATATAACTACAATTAACCTTCACAAAAATTTAAAATGCAAACATATACATTTTTAAACAACTAATGCAATGTACATAAAAATAACAAAAAATAATAAATATTCAACGAAGTAATAACTGACATTCACCATGAATTATATATGGTGAATGTTTTTGAAATAATTTGTTTTATGAAATAAGAAAATATAAATGAAATAAGAAATAATAATATAATAATAAAGAAAGAGAAAAATATTTCTTTTTGGTGTAAAATTTGATACCGTAAATTTTAGTTGATTACACTAAAAATAGTGTTGACATCAAATTTAATGTAAAATTTGGTGTTTGGATTGGAGATGCCTTTAATCCAATTTTAAAAAGAAACTTTATCTTTTTCCCCGTAATACCTATTGTTTCATCACCATTTTACCAAAATACCCTTCCTCAATAATCATAATGACCGCCTTTTTTTTTAATTTCTTTACTCGGATTTGAAATTCATCTTAATCATATTTCATTTATTTTTTTTGGTTTTAGTGCAATTATTATTTTATTGTATTAAAATGAAAAAATAAATAACTTTTCTTGTTTTTTTTCTTGTGAATTTGCATTGCATTCAGAAATTTGCTTTCCACTTTTTTGTTTTACATATTGTCTTTTTCTTGAAATTTTGCTCACCTGAAAACTGGTTCTCTGGCCGGGAAACAGCCATTTTTTACTTCTTAAAAACCACCAAAAAGGTTTTTCTTTTTTTTTACTTCATTAATCTTTTGGTTATATAATCATTTCTTTCTCTCTTTTTTTTCTGTTTGTAAAATTTTGATCTGTGACATAGAACAGTGTAAGTCAAACTCCACTCTCACTCTTTTTTTGTTTGTTTGTTTTTAAATCTGTTGTTTGAAAAAATTTCTTGTTTGTTTTTGCAAGTTTTAAGCTTTATTTTTTTATTTTTTTTTGGCTTTTTGGGTTTAAAGATTAGTTTTTTACTTCTTTTTTAGTCATAGCCAGCCATGGTCTGATGTTTAAAACAACAAGAACATTCTTTCTGGTCTGTACTTTGGTTCTTGAATTCTTGTCAATAGAAAATTAAAGGCTTAGAAAATGTTGGTTTTTTTTTTTTCAGAAGTCATATTAAGCTATTATAATATACTCTTCATATTGTTCTTTCTCTGTATTTTACTTTTAAAATGTTGAATTGCCATCTTGTGTTTTTCAGCAAAGAAAGGAAAAAAAATTGTCTTTTTTTTTGAGGGGTTATTTTTTCATGTGTTTCTTGAAATGTGCAATGATGTTGGTTGAGTAACTATATTGTTCGGACTTTTCAAAAATGATGCCGGTACCCGTGTTGGATCCTTGGATCCAATTTACATCAACATTTTTGAAGAGTCCGAGCAACATAGATGAGTATGACAAGATGTAATATAATCTTGTGTTGATTGTTCAATGTACTTGTTATTTCTGATTTGAAATTGAGTTTCCATTGAAGCAAATGTAAGAAAGCTCACTTCTTTTACTCTTTTTGTTCTGTTTACAGTTGCAAAGCATTAATATCTGCTGGAAAAAATGGAGTCAAGGGAAGCTATGAATGCTGGAGTTACAGTGATAGCTCCAGAAGCTCCATCAAACTATCATATGGCATCAAGAACAGAATCTACTCCGTTACCACCCGGAACATTAGCGGTGATTACCCCTCCGGTAGCTACTGCCTTTCCAATTAGCTCAGAGAAGAAGAAAAGGGGACGTCCTAGGAAGTATGGGCCTGATGGGGCAGTTGCAAGGACAATTTCACCTATGCCTATTTCAGCATCGGCGCCACCAACCTCCGGCAACTTCTTGTCGGAGAAAGTGAGTGTTGCCCGTCCTGCTTCGGAGAAAAAGCCTCGAAACAAAGTTGGGGCTGAGAATTTAGGTAATGTAGAAGTTTTGTGTCTTTGACTCTAACTAGTGTGTTTTTAGTAGGGACCTGGAATGTTGGGATCTTGGATATGGAGTACTATTGAGGTTTTTAATATGAATGAAGTTAAATACAAATTCCTATGGAGAATTGGGGCTTGAATTAATTGTTCATTTGGCTAGTTAGTGCTAATTATCGTAGTTCTCTGGGGGACCATATATTCTTGATTTCATGATGATAGCTGATATAACTGTAGTTTATATCTTCTTTCTTTTTGTTCTTTCATTTTCATCTTTTCGTGGTTTGTTCAACATTTTGCCAAATGAAGATAATGAGACTTGATTTTATAAACTACTTGTGATTGATTTAGCATTAGTTCATCAAGAGGACATGATTTGTATGGACTATGGCCTAAGTTGTGCGGATTCTTCACTTTCGATGCTGCACCTGTGTCGGATTCTCCAAAAATACACTACTTTTGGAGAATCCGACACGCACCCATTGACGTTTTTGAAGAATACGAACAACATAGACTATGACCCTTTTGCGACGAAAATAATCTGTGGTAGAAATGTACATGGATTCCTTCTGAATGGAGAGCATGATCTAGATTCTTAAATTTCCCCTTGTTCTTGGTGCTAAGGAAAAAAGAAAATATAATTCTTGTTTTTTTAATTAACTCGACCAGCTTTTCTGAGGTAGGTAATCTAAGGTTTGCAAGGAAAATAATAAAAAAAAAAGTTGTTTTTCCTGCATTTTGTTTTGGTTGCATGTAAATAAGTGTGAATTTTGGCAGGAGAATTTAAGTAGCCTTGTCGAGACGATAATTATCTTTTCTCCTTATTGGTTACGTTCCCTTTAGTGATATGCTTTCAGTTAGCAATGCAAGTTTTGCAACTAATCACCTAGATCTCATCTTGTAGGTGAATGGATTTCATGTTCCACAGGTGGCAACTTTTTGCCTCACATGATCACAGTTGAAGCTGGTGAGGTATGTTTGGTTGTACAAGGATACTGGTTGATTGTTAATAAAACTATTTGCAAAGGTTAAAATGATGTGAACAAGTCTTGACAGTTTTTGGTTATCAAAGAGTTCACTGCTTAAAGAAAAAAGGGATCAAGTAAATTTGTTTAGACAAAAGTAAAGAGTGATCCAGGATACTTGGATGTAGTAATAATTCAAGAATTGCCTGGCCTCTAGCCTCAATTTAAATTGAGCAACCAACAGTTCCAGTGTTTTAACAAATCACAGCTGGGGGCACAAGGCAATAGTTTACTCTTAAAACTAACTATTTACTCGTAAAAAGTATTTAGAACTTTAAATTGAGCAGCGAACAGTACTAGTATTTGTATTCTAGTCTAACAGATTTCACTGTATTAGTGAGTAATGTACTGATTGTCCCAGCAGCACAGTGGCTTTACCAGTTCTGCTTCTGTAACTATCATTTGTATTCAGCTGTGTGATCGGTGATTTGCATACACATGACTAGCAAAATTTAAGTGCTTGCAGATGATGTGAATTTTCAAACTGGATATGGTTGTTCATGCAACTATTCTATACAGTCAACCATGTTTGAAAAAGGTTCTCGAAGCTCTTTCCCCGAGTCTGTGAGATGTATATGTGTAGGATTAGATCTCTAATGATAACATTGTTGCAAATACCATTTGAGAATAGCTTGATAAAAAAAAATGAAATGTAAGAATAAGGTCATATGCACATAGGGTTGTTTTTGTTGGTGTGAGGGGAAAATTGGCTGTATATAAATTGCAAATTTCCATATGCACTAAATAACTCCACAATTTTAAAAAAAAATTATATCCTTTTAAATTACAAATATAGTTACTTAAATTCATACTTCTTTGGGAATTCAATTTAAAGGAGTGATCCTTTTCATTTCCCAGTTAGCGAATTTCTAACTGGGAATTATTAACGCCACCCCAACTTCTTCTTTATGGTTTATTACTCTGTTACTTCTTCAGATCAGAAATGTATTTACTCTTTCGTTGGTTGCCTAGGATGTTACCATGAAGATAATCTCATTTTCTCAGCAAGGGCCTCGAGCTATTTGCATTATTTCTGCTGTTGGTTTGATATCAAATGTCACTCTACGCCAGCCAAATTCATCAGGGGGAACTTTAACTTATGAGGTTGGTTTTTTTTTTTTTGGGTAGTGTTCAACATTCAATGACTCTGATTTGCATCACATCATGGTGGTTATTAGCTTTCTTATTAATGGCCCACCCTTTCTTCAAACCTTGTCAATGATCGAACTTAAAGATATGAACTGAGATGTATAGCAATTTCAGTAGAACTTGTCATACTAGAGAAGGATGCACGTTTCACAAGGCAGGGTTCATATTTTTCTTTTCTTTTCCAACAAATGTCCTTTGTGAGAAATGTCCATAATAGATAGGCGAAGAAATGATAACAAAACAGAAATTAAAATTTTGCAAGAATATCTCATCGTCTCCAAATTTTTGTAACACAAATTAATGAGTAGCTGAATAAAATGTACATAAATGGAGCTGAACGAATTCATATATCCGACTCCAACTAGTTGGGGATTGAGGTGCAGCTGTCCATTACATTAGGGAAAAAAGGATAATCCTCATTCCTGCTTTGGTGTCCTCCATTACATTTGATGAATGATCAAAATTCCTTGTGCAATATTGTCGTGTAGGGTCGATTTGAAATCCTTTCTTTGTCTGGATCCTTTACTCCAACAGAGTTTGGGGGTTCTCGTACTACTAGCAGAACCGGAGGAATGAGCATTTCTTTGGCAAGTCCTGATGGTCGTGTTGTCGGAGGTACACTTGCAGGACTGCTAATAGCTGCTAGTCCCGTCCAGGTAAAACTATTTTCTATTGCATGAATTCTAATATTTGGCATGACATTTTCGCACAATAAAATTACCTATTTATGTTCTACTGTTAGTCAGGAGTATAGAGATTGAGAGTGCTCAATTTTGTTCTTTAAGTTCTTTGCTCTTTCAATATATACTAGGTTGTAGTGGGAAGTTTTCTACCAAGCAACTACCAAGAGGCCAAGCCAAAGAAACAGAAAGCAGAACCCAAAGCAATAGCTTATGGAACGCTCTCTCCTGCTGCGCCCCATAGCTCTAATATGGAGCCTAGAAGTTCCAATGCACACACTGTAAATGTTCCCGCAGCTGGAACTCAAAATGTTATTTCTTCTTCCATTCAACCAAATCACTGGACCACCATGCCATCTGTTCAAGATTCAAGAAAGTCTACTACAGATATTAACATATCATTGCAAGGAGAGTAATCTGATCCATCTACGTGAATTCATTCCCAGATTCTGAAGCACTTCATACGCAGTACCTGAATAGTATAACGTCTGATCGGCAATAACTTTTGTTAGGATAGAATCTGTTGTTTCATCTGAAGAGCATCTATGATTATGGTGTAGTTGCAGAATCTTTGTTGTAGGGAACTTTTTGAGTGCTTTAACATTAAACACGTTTGGTCAAAAAGTTGAAGGTTTGTAGTTACACTCAAATTGTTGCTTTCTTTTGGGTAGTTTCAGAAAAACCTTGTATCTCAAATTCTGTAGCTATTATTGTTCTAATAATATTATGCTTAAAAGGAAATGTGTATGAACTACTAAATATGTATAACAAGTATATAGCATAAAGCTCGAGTTCAAGGTTAAGCTGATTTACATTATCAAGCCATTGATATTACATCAAAGTTTTATCAAACTCATATGACTTGATGTTGAACTTGTTTAAGATTCAAGGACAATATCAGTTGGTAATTTCTTTCTATTTGTCCAAGTCTTGTGAGAAAAAAGAAAAGAGTATCACAAGGTAAAAAGATAAATAGCATCAGTAGTATCTTAATAGTCTACTGTCAATATGTTTTCCCTAGTTGAGGACATCCAGTCCTTTCCTTAAATTGGATTAAATTCTCTAGGCCATACAATCAGCAAGATTCCTTTCATCAATGAGCCTGAGACAAAGTGCAATTTTGAACAAAATTATAAACCAGATCGCGTTTAGATAGTATATTTAGAGCAAATATATGGTCAAATAAAAAAACAAACTGTCCAGGAATTTAACTCCAAATATATATTCTCACAGAAACTATGCACAATTGAAAAGGTAGCTCAAGAGATCAAGTAAACAGTACTTATTATAATCAATCATTTGATTTAGACAGATTTAAAGTGTCCCACCAGGACCACCACTTGTTGCATAATGATACACATGAAAGCTTGAAACTTGCAGAATACAAGTACAAAAATTGAGACCATAATTTAAGGCTCATCCATCATTAGTTCAAAAAAAAAATAGGCATCTGTAGTAGTACCTATATTTCACAAAAAAACATCATTATATGATTTAAATAACAACTCTCATGTGGATATAGTATGGTTAACAATAGTTGGAAACTTTAGACCACGAAAAAGGAAAAAAGAAAGGTAGTTGAAGGGACAAGTGGAGCCACCATTACATTCTGATATAAGGAGTAAATGAGAGTGAAAAAGTGAAAGTGTATCTGGTTTGAAGAGGTAACTATACTCCATCTTTTTCACAGTAACAAAATACTACTTGTTGAAGTTACGAGAATATAAAATTTAAAAGAAAGTAAGAAAACTTGATGAGCAATAGCTTTTGTGAGAGCCAATATTGGTTATACGAAGAGAAAGATAACATGCTGGACAGGTTGAAGGAAACACACCAAGTTAATGCCCTCCATCTTTTTACTTATGCAAATGCTATGCAGCAGACAGAGGAGGAACTAGGGAACTTTGGTGAGATCAGCAATTCCTCATTCTTCATTCCGCCACAATGCTCCAGATCATGCTATAATCACATACAACATTAGACAAACAGATAAGGAAAATTAGGAGAACAAGTACCTAAAAAAGTGGAACAGTTTGTACGAAAGTGCAGAAAAAAAAAACAGGAACAACTCATCATTGACACCTTACCAGATTATAGAAATGGCAAGATGTATCCCAAGGTATCCAAGCTTAAACAACCGAATCTTCTTTTCCCATGGTAGCTGGTTGAAAATCTCAGTTACATCTAGCAAGTGGCGACGATCAGTATAGCTAATCAAAAGGTTAACATCCATTGTCAGACCATTTTGCGATGCCAATGACAACAAACAGCAGGAAAGAGTTAGCAGTTCTACATACTTCATTAGAAGACTTACACTTTGACATCATAATATAAGTACGGGAGACAGACCAGACACATTAACCAATGTCCCATCACAAGATGCAGGAAGCATAGTGCTCCTTGAAGAACAAATTCCGGAACCACGAGTATGTTAATCTCGGATGCAGAATCATAAGGGTTGACATAATCATTTTCAAGGTCCGCCAAGCACATGACCTGCAGTTAAATAAGTCCATATGCAATATTTACTGACCCTAAAAATATAAATAGAAAGGAGAGCATTGAGTAGAAAAATGTGAGCAGCTAATGATTCAAGGTTAACAACATTGTGCCTAGGAACTTTGATCAGTAGACTCAACACTAGACATTTGTCACATATGGATTTCCAGGTCAATTATTACAAAGACAATAAGACTAGAAGAGCTAACACTACTAACTTAAACGAAAAAAAATTGGGATAACAAACAACCAAGTTAAACTGTTTCTTGATTGACATGGTTTGTTAAGCTTCTCATGTTAATTTCTCTTCAACAAATTAGAGTCTGAGGATTGTTTGATTAAGTCTTAATGTGAATTACATTAAGGGGCTCTATGTGAAATTAGGCAAATTCAGTATGATATATATGTTTCCAGTCCTGGTACTATTGACATTTCTAGCAGAAATGACTGGTTGTTCATAGGAAATTGAGAATTCTTTTCATGGTGAAGTCACTTATGGCAATTGTGTTAGTGCTCTGTACCTGACATTGAGTTCTGGGATTAGATTTAGGGTTCATTGAATTAAATTTGGAATTTCATGTTTGGAGATATGCTTTCATCACCTCAAGTTGTAACGTGAAAATTAATTTGGTTCAACTTCTCTTCCCTTTCTACCAGCTTCAAATTTTCCAATTTCAACAGCCCAAAAGGGGATTTACAAAGGCGCATCAAATAGGGAGAAAAGGGTAAATGCAAAGAGATACTAATTGAATAAACCTGGTACAGAACTATGGCGAGAACGGCAACGAGAAGGAAGAAGGAAAGAAGCCATGAGAGTAGATCGCCCATGGCCCGGCCCCCTTCTCTCCCGGCTTTCACTTGATTCCACAATACTTTTTTTTACACTATAAAATGTTTGATTGATTTCTAACAATAATATATTATTATGGGATGCACGGACTAAATTATTCTGACATTATAGTTACCGAGATAAGGTGGAATATCCCAATATAAGCTTGGGTTAAAATTTATTGCAGGCTTAATTGTGGATTTGTCACCTTACCAAACAATCCATCTATGTATTATTATTAGCACTATATGTACCCTTTAAATTTAAATGGTATGTTTAATAAACTGTCAAGTTAGTATTTATCATTTTTTTTTAAAGTATAATTATTGAACTGATGATTGTTAGAATATAATAGTGGCAAAATATTAACCTAATAACTTTCAACTTATCCATCAATCTTAATTTCGTGTTTGAGTGCTGGGAAGTTAAGTAATGGGATGATGCATCGTTTCTTGATGAAATGAAAAGAGTAAGGCATACAAATTACTACCCATACCAAGTCACCAATGTGATGTGAGTTGTGGTGTAGTGGTGGCCGGTGGGACTGCTTCACCATTAACCAGTTGGTGTCAAATGCTAACATGTTGCCCAGAAATAATATTGGTGTCATTTCATCTGTTCTATTAAGCTTTTACAAATTAAAGAAGCTCAATATATGAGAATATGTATTCAGTAGATGGTTTTTTTCATCATGCTAAGTAAGGAATAAGTTGTCCTTTGTGAAGATCATGCCGTTCAGACTGTGTCCTCTGATGCCCATCCCTTCTTCTCTAGTTGCAATCTCAGCGCCTGTTTTATATGACCGGATTAGCCATTTGACTTAAACGAGATTGGAAAGAACAAGAACAGCAAATAGTCATACCTTGATTCGCTTTCTATTAGCATCAAAGTCATAATTCCCCATGCGAGATGCTGCTCTATACTGTACAATTGATTTCTTGACTGGAGGGAACCAGAACTCGACATCATCTACCAACTGTAGTAACATGTACTTATTCATTAGTGGCTGAGGAAAATGATGTGTGTGTAACTGAGCAATTAGAACTTTGAAACACTTACCCCCAAGATAGGACTTTCATATTCCACACGCACATAATCGTCTTTCTTCTCCATTATTCTTGGAGAGGACTTGTCTGGTTTTGTTGATTTTAGCTTCAAAATGATGCAGATCAATAGGTTGGTATGTGAAATATAATGTTCAACTATTTGTTATGATGAGAAACAGGTTTTAAGACTATTTACCACTTGAAGTAATTCCTCCATTGCCTTTTCTCTGCTGATGTTACCACGTTTCCCGTCAGGGTTATAGTTCCTGACAATCAAAGCACCAAAATTTTACCATCTCTGTACAGTATCCCCATTGATAAAGGCTAATCTTTTAACCTTCAATTTTATCATATTCCTTTCCTTAGTGTCATTGACGAAAATAGCAAGACCTTGTCGAGGTAGCATATTGATCTATTCTAAAAGCACAGTCCACCAAGATGCTTATAATGAAGTTCACACCACGGTTATAAAAAAAAAGATGCTTATAGTCAAGAGCATACTGATTCTTGGATAGAACGGATCTAACACATCCATTTCATCTTGAAAATTATATGTAACATCATGTAAGTTTTTGATAGTCTAGATGGAGTGCATCTTACCTAGGACCATGCCATGCCACGCCCACATATTAATTTACACACAAGATCACCCGTAGTGATTCTAGTCAAAGAGAAATGGTCAAAAAAAGGAGGCTTTTGTGATTCATATGTCAACTAGTAGCTATCATATTAATGTGCACAATTTCCATGTGCACATAAATACTGCTGTTCTAGACTAAACGTGAAGCATCATCTCATCACCACATAGAAAGTCGACGACTTTTCTTTGTATCTGCACTTTTTATCAATGATAGAGATAGAGACCAAACATAAAACATACAGATTACAGAGGTAAAAGGAAAAGAAAAAGAAAAGTTACCAAGGAGGTGCATAGTGAGTAGCATCACTGATGTTCTCAGAAGTAGAAACACAATTGTTAGTGGCTGGACAAAGAGCTAAACCAAGTGGATTCTTTTGAACTCCCAAGTAATTTGGCTTTTTACCACTGCATCACAAAAACAAGATTCAATCTCTTCTACTCAAATCACCTTTTTCTAAGCTAGCGTTTGGTTGAAAAGTTATCCTCAAATATTTTTTTCACCATGAAATTTGACAAAATCTAATATTCAAATAGGCAATTTTGGGGTTTTTGTTACTTCCCATCATAGAACTTCAAAAAAAAATCGAGTAAAATACATGTCCAAACACAATTGCAAGAACTCAAATTTTCAAGTTTCAACTTCAAAATCTATGAGCAAACATGAAACTAATGCCACACAGATCAGAAATCCATCTCTATACAAATTACTCAAATCAACAAAAGAAATTCCTAAAATTTTAATGAGTAGCTTGACTATAGCAACAATTGTTAAATCTTGGAAAAGGGGTTACTAGATTTGTTGCTAAAAGAGTTAAAGTAATCAAAACCAAACATATATATTTGAATGTGAAAAAGTGCTGGAAGGAGAATGAATACATGCCTGAAGTTGAAGAGGGCTCCAAGAAGTGCAATTTCACTGCTTCTTAGTATTATTTCCCTACATATATACCAATGAGGTGGATTTAGTATCAAAAGGAAACATTTTGATGAGAGGGGTTGGAAGGGAATACCTGCGACCCACTTGTTTGGTGTTTTCATCCTGCTGCTCCTTACATGAAACAATGAAATGGGAGAAAGAAGATTTACTAGTATATACTCTACTTGAGAACTTGTTAGGGTAAAAATGGTGGCTATTTAATGATGCCATTACTGAGAAAGGAAGAATTAGAGCTGCTTTATTTCTTCTTGGTTTTTGCTTTTCCCTTTTCTTGAATCCTTAGATAAAATGAAAAATGGTGCCTTTTTTAGAGCATTTGCAAATGTTTTAATAGAAGAAAAGTTTGTGGATATTCCTTTTAGTTTCCCATAATGACAAGTAAGTATCTTGTTTTTTTTTTAATTATCACATGGACACCTCGTTTTCTTAAAATTTCATTGTATACTTCCGTTCACTTTTTAATTGTCGTGGTTTCTTTTTTAAAGTCAAACTATCAGAATTTTAATTACTTTTTATCATATTAATATTCAAAAAATTGCAATTTATAATATTTTTCGTATAATTTTTGAATATTTACTTTTTTTATTTAAAATATCAAACTAATGTAATCTAATTTAACTTTGAAAATTAATCAAATTGACTTTTAAAAAGTATAACATAATTAAATGTGGACGGAAGGAGTATGAAATAACTTTTTTTTCTTTTTATTAAGACATGTTTTTTTTTTGGGCAAAGGTAGACCCAAGTGACTGAAACTTAATTCTAATAAAAGGTGGCAGATTTCCTAGGAAAAAGAAAAATATCACAATTTTTATTGTCTCTAGTTATGACCTTGAATGAAAATACTTTTTAGAAAATCTCATTTTAGAAAATACTTTGAAAAATAATTTAATTTAATCTTTTTATTTTACTTTTAGTTGATAAATTTTCATAGCTATATAAATATTAATTTTTTAAAAAAAAAATTCATAGTCAATTAAATTAAATATTCAAATCCTAAAATCTCCCGACTTTTTCTTTTTACTCAAAATATGACCGTTAAAATTATTTTAACATTTCAAAACTTACTCCAAATTTTCGCATTTTATATATAAGAAAAAAACTCATTTGTTTACGACCTATTACTGATCCATATTTACCCCCCCCCCCCCTCCTCGCCCTCCACATCTTTCTTTTTACTTATGTTTAATTGAGAGTCAGGTCTTGAATTGACTAATAATAAACGATATAAATGAAGTTTATGCATACATAAGAATTTAAGATCAATAAGTATGTACATTTGGTATGGTTGAATATTTTTAAGAGCAACTTTTCACATATAGCAAACACAAAATTCATATTTGTATGCTATAACAAAATTTGCATAATTGCGCTCCATAGCAAACATATATATGTATAATTCGCTATATATATACAAAAAAACAGTTGTATAATTCGCTATACATATACAAAGAAAGCAGTTGTATAATTCACTATACATATACAAAAGAAAGCAGTTGTATACAAAAAATCAATTGTATAATCTATGTATGTATAAAAGGAGAAAGAGAGAAAGGCAAAAGAAAACTAGGCAGAGAAATATTGATTGTATAATTATAAGTGTATAAGACGAAGATATATGCATTTGCATGTGTATATACAATTTTCTCTCGCTTTATACAAACAAAAGAGCAATTTATACATTTCGTTTATGTTTGTATAAGTGAGAGAGGCGAGGGTGGTGAGCGAGATTTGGGAGAGGGGAATGAAAATATATGTATATATACAATTTCTTCTTGCTTTAATACAAAACACAAAACACATTTTTATACATTTGTGTTTGTATAAAAGCGAGAGAGGCGAGTGAGACTGTCACCAAACGAGAGTAGCGAGCGAGATTCCACCAGGGAGAGTGGCGAAAATAGCAATAGTTTGCTATATGGTACAATTAAATCAAAAGTATATTTTATAGCATTTAATTTTGAATTAATAGTTTGCTATTATATATAATTTTCCCTATTTTTAATAGTTTAAAAAAACTTATGATATGAATCATGTTTCATGTTATTATTTTTAAGAAACTAAACTATATTTAAAAAAAATTATGTTCAAATACATTTTTAACTTCAAATCAAACTTAACAAAAATCTTTTAAATTTTTTTTTAATATCCAAATGCTAGCGAATCCAGACGAAGAGTACTATGTAAAATAAAGGGATTAGTAAACTAATATAGTTTATGTTAGGATTGCTCTATCCTTAATTAGATGTCTCACATTTTAGTAGAGTGGGTAATCAAAGGGATACAAAATGATAAGTTTATAACTTATGTGGAAAGTAGAGACTTAACAAGAAAAAGGGGAGCCAACGTGTGAATTCCCCCTTTCTTGAATTTTCAAATACTTAATTGGAGAAGCACTATGTGAAAATTCCAGTGCAAGTTTTGAGAAACTGCGAAGTATTCAACTAAGGGCGCGGGAAGAAGAAGAACCAAACAGCCCTGAACGTTCATTTCCCTTCTAATGGCCCGTAATAAGGTAGTAAATTTCAGTTTTTTTCCATACCCACTATTTATTTCCTCAATTTGTGCTTCACTGAATCACTTTCTTTTGATTCTTGAAAAAAGATTAGATTTTTTGGTACTAGATACTAAAATTAGTTCTGGGGTTTGCAACTGAGAGTTTTTTTTTTGGTGAACAGGAAGCGGTAGTGTTGGTAATTGATGTGGGTCCTTCCATGCACTCAGTTTTACCTGAGATTGAAAAAGTTTGCTCATTGTTGATACAGAAGAAGGTACCATGTTACCACTTTGGGTTTCTTCTGGTTTCAATTTTTGTTTGGAATTTTAAATTTCCGACATACTCGTTAAGAAAAATGTCACATTTGTCCTATTTTTGGTGTATGTAGCTGGTTTTCAGCAGATATGATGAAGTGGGGTTTGTCTTGTTTGGAACTGCAGGTAAGTATTTTGCATAATGGCTGCTGATGTATTTGATATGGAGTAAATTTTTCCTACATTAGTGGAAAATGTTTTTCTATCCGCAAGTCACTTTTTAAAAAAGAATTTATTTTCTGGTGTTTGGTTGGATATAATTGGGAACAAATCTTCACTGTATAAGACGAAGGATTCAACTGATTGGGGGTTTTATGGAGGAGGTTGAGATTCAACTTGTTGAAAATTTTGTGGTGGAGCTAGTTCATAAAATTCGGGCGAAGGGGGAGCTGGTTAGTGGTTTACCCTGATTTTTCATATATATATATTGGGGAAGAGAATTTGTGTGACACAAGTTTAGCCATCTTTTGTGTTTACCTCTTTAAGAGTGAATCTTATGAGGTTATTCCCTTGACATTTTTGTACTCTGTTTTATATAACAAAATTGCTCATATCTTCAGCTTGATGTTGGTTAACTGACCTAATAATGCTAAATTTATGTGTCTCTTTCGGTATATTTCTCCTTTGTAATACATTTATCTTCATTGAAGGGTTGTTTTTCAACTTCTACCTGATACCTAATTATTTCAAACCTAACTGAATAGAGTATGAGCATAATGTTTTGGTGATACTTTTGCGTATTAAAAGTTGACAACAATGTCTAAGTATTAGTTGAAAGAAATGACATAAACTAAGAGTTGGATAATAGTAAAGGAAAATGACTTTCATCCACAAGCAAATGAAATCATTTTTGCACTTTTGGTAGAAAATACTTTTCAAAGTTCAAGTTAATCAACCTATTTCGTCAATGAAAGCCTTTTTTGTCATACCAGACACACTGTGTGTCCTTTGTTCCCTTTCTTATTGGACTGGCCTGTCCATATCATTTTCATATGATTACCTGACTCTTTCTGGAATTTGTTGCGGTAAAAAATTCTGTTTCTCAGCATTGGGGTTGGAATTTTATCAGATGACCTGTATATGTATTTTTTCCCAGATACCAAGAATGAATTGAAAGAGGAAATAGGAGGATATGAACATGTGACAGTTCTGCGAAATATCAAAGTTGTAGATGAAGATCTTGTTGATGCTCTGGAAAAACTTCCACGAGGAAGTGTTCCTGGAGATTGTATCCTCTATGATTACTGGGTTGTGATAGTTCAGACTAGTACAGTTGTTAAGCATGCAATCCTTGTTCGAGTCACTTTCTGTCTTCCCTCAATATACTTATTCCTCTATATTAATTCATCTGCCTCACTCTATTATGATTCACTTAAAATGCATGCTCGTGCAACAACTCTAAGTTTTGGTGGTAACCAAAATCAGGCTTCAAAAGAAAACATTATAAGTTAATATCTATTAGAGCTACAAATGAGGATTTCATTGAATAGAGTAAGCTGTATGAGGTATAATAGCTTTTCTCATTCCATAGGATGTGTTTTTGGCTGTGGAATATGTTTCTGCACTGATTTAGTTCTATTGTAGATTTGTAGCCTGTGCTCTGGCTCTTTTTAACAGTAGTTGTGGCAGGTGATTTTGTTGACTTCTAATCTCAATGCTATTCTTATGTGCTCATGATGATCTTGAGTTCTTGATTCTTTAACTATCTGTATTAGTTCTTGATGCGATTGTTGTTGGTATGGACATGCTCATTAAGAAGTTTGGACAAACCAACAAGGCAAAGAAACGTCTTTGCCTTATTACAAATGCTGTTTCTCTCATCAAAGATCCATTTGAAGGAACAAAGGAAGATCAAGTAAACACCATTGCTACACAGATGACAGCACAAGGCATGAAGATGGACTGTGTAATTGTCAGAATGAAACAAGATTGGGAAACAAGTAGGAGAATTATGGAAGAAAATGATTTTCTAATGTCAGTATTCTCGAATAAATCTTCCTCAAAAGTAGTATATGTGGAAAGTCCAACTTCTTTATTAGGTGCACTTAGAACGCGTAATATATCGCCAGTCACGATATACAGAGGTGATTTTGAAATTGGTGCCCAATTGAAGATCAAGGTGAGAATTAAGAAATTTATGCTGATTTACTCAATTCTTTTCAATTTTGATTCTTTACCTTTTTCTTCTGTTAATGAAATAGCTTTTCTTAGCCTTTTTCTTTTCTTCTTCTTTGGTTTTTCCCTATATATTGAATTATGTCCAAGTGAAGTGAGCATTTAGTGATAACATATGCATTCCTTCCTAAAGAATCTTGACTGATTATGTTTTTGCATTACCTCTTTGTGACTTTTTTCAGGAGTCTATCATATATTTTTTATCAAATCTCAGGGACATGGTCTAATCATGAGGGTAGTATTTTATCATGGTGTCAGGCAGCTACTAGCTTGGCTGATTTGGAGACAGATTTATATAAGAGGGAAATATCCAGTACCATCAATACTAGGGTCAATAAAACTATCCTCCCAGAATTTCATATTTACACAATCAGCAGATATTGTGATAATCAGATTGGATAGTTTACTCTCATCTAGAAACTGTTGTATCTGATTTCAATCTATGGGGATTGTAGGGATTTTACAGTAGTCTAGAATACGAGTAAGATGGTAACTTTAGAAGTATGCAACGACGACAACTATGCTTCAATCCCAAACAAGCTGGGGTAACTAAAAGTATACACCTGATGTATATCCTTTTTGGTCCCTAATTTGCTAATCATATGTGCACGTTTCTTTTCCCTTTTCTTTCCCTTCCTATTCTATTTTGGAGACAGTTTGATGTGGATGTTTAGTTACTAATAAAAATTCTTTTAACCTTATCTTTCTCAGAAGGAAAAAGGAACTAATAATTGCTTTTTATTAGGTATGGGTTTACAAGAAAACATCTGAAGAGAAGTTTCCTACCCTGAAAAAGTACTCCGATAAGGCTCCTTCCACTGATAAATTTGCTACTCATGAAATCAAGGTTGATTACGAATATAAAAGCATAGAAGACCCTAATAAAGTTGTGCCACCAGAACAGAGGATTAAAGGTTTTCAGTATGGACCTCAAGTAGTTCCTATATCCTCTGCTGAGTTGGAGGCTGTAAAGTTCAAACCAGAGAAAAGTGTGAAGCTACTAGGATTCACAGATGCTTCAAACGTAATGCGGTATAATTTTAGTTTCTTGAATACTACACAGTTTTTTCAGATTAATATTTGGATAGGTGGGAATGTCTTGTGCCGTTTATCTTTCCAATCTTCATAGTCATATTCTACTTACTCAGGCATTACTACCTGAAAGATGTAAATATCTTCATAGCCGAACCTGGCAACAAAAAAGCCATCCTTGCACTTTCTGCTTTGGCAAGGGCAATGAAGGAAATGAACAAAGTAGCAATTGTCCGATGTGTATGGAGGCAAGGACAGGGTAATGTTGTTGTTGGGGTCCTTACACCAAATGTCTCTGACAAGGATATTACTGTAAGTATGGTTTAAATTTTCACCTCTTGATTATTCTGTTTTCTCTTTTTAGTGTATATTCCACTCTTAGATTGTTGACGTTCTCATTGACCACTGCTTGCAGCCTGATTCATTTTACTTCAATATTCTTCCCTTTGCTGAGGATGTTCGGGAGTTTCAGTTTCCTTCTTTCAGCAATCTGCCTTCATCAATGCAGCCAAATGAAAAGCAACAAGACGCAGCAGATAAATTGGTTCAGATGTTGGATCTTGCACCACCTGGAAAACAGGAAGTGTTACCACCTGACTTTACACCTAATCCTGTTCTAGAGGTATGGCGTCATGCAGAATATTGTTGAAATATTAAGTGTGAAACTACATTTACCTTTGCACTTAGATCACTCATTGGGAACATAATTAAACTAATTTTGTAAAGAGCTGCCTGAATTTAGGATATTTTCTTGCCAGTTGGTCATGGTAATCGTCGCAAAGTGATGCATTAACATTTCAAACTTTCTTTCTGTCGCTGAATTTCATTAAAAGTAAGTTGTTATGATGCTTGTTGACATTGTTGCTGAGTTGTAATTGTCGTTTAGTTGGTATTGACAGCCTTTTCACCGCTTAGGTGGATAACTTGATTTGATTAATCATTTCATATTAAATATATGTTGATAATGGGACCTAGGTGGTACTTCAGCTTAATAATGTGCGTAACAGGATGCTGGTGATAGAAACCTTTGGAGATTTGGGTTTTAAGATTATAAACAGTGCTGCTTATCTATGAACTCTCTGAGTAATAATATGAAATAAAAAAAATCATAACTTAAGAATCCTAATTTTGCTCCATAATTGCCTTTTGCACTATCAATTTCTAATCAATTAGTATTGTACAAATATCCAGCGTTACTACCGCTATCTTAACCTGAAGTCAAAGCATCCAGATGCTGCTGTTCCTCCACTTGATGAAACCCTCAGAAAGATAACAGAACCTGATGTTGAGCTTCTTTCTCGAAACAAGTCCATCATAGAGGAACTCCGTAGGTCTTTTGAACTAAAAGATAATCCAAAGGTAACTTTCAATATTCATCCCTTTATTCAAATTGGACTTTTCTAGAATAGTCCGACTATGGTGGCTTCTGCCTTACCAATTATTATATAATTAATGCGCAGCTGAAAAAATCAGCAAGAAGAATAAAAGAGAGACCTTCAGGATCAGATGAGGAAAGAGGAGAGTTCGACAAAGATGCTGATGTCAAAGCTATAGACTCAATGGAATACTCAGCCAAAACAGAAGTTGAGAAAGTTGGAGACGTTAATCCTGTCAAAGACTTTGAGGAGATGATGTCTCGAAGAGATAATCCAAAATGGATTAGTAAGGCCATTCAGGGTATGAAAAATAAGATCTTTGATCTTGTGGAGAATTCTTGTGAAGGAGATACATTTCATAAAGCATTGCAATGTTTAGTGGCTCTACGCAAAGGTTGTATCCTTGAGCAGGTATGTTATCTGGTTTTCTCTCTTTGTGCTATAGTTAAATATCAAATGTCTGTGGCACGCGCCCAAACAAACTAACATAGCAACATCAATTTTACCTGCATAGGAACCAAAGCAGTTCAATGATTTCCTGTGCCACCTGTCTAAATTTTGCCAAGAAAAAGACCTGAGAAGTTTCTGTCTATATCTCACATCTCATGAATTCACTTTTATAACCAAGGCAGAAGCTCCAGACAGGTCTGGTCATATTTCTAATTTCCTTAATATATTGAACTGCTTATGTTGCTCTGTCCTTGTTTTCTTTCCTTGATGCTGATTTCTTTATTTGGTAACTTTGTATTTATCAGTGAAATTCCAGAACACGAGGCTAGAAGCTTTATGGTCAAGCCTGAACTTGACTCGCAAAATATGAAATCAGAGGCTAAAGCAGAGGATGATATTATGAGTATATACCTGGGTGGGAAGTAGAAAAGGAAACCTAGAGATGCATGTTGTGTGATGTACAGGCAATCAGCATTTTCAGCAAGAATGACAGTGTAAACTTAAAGAGATCTTATTTTTGAGGTTTCTGTTGAAGATTGAATCTTAGACCTCAATCAGCTTCATTTTGTTACTCCATCCTCAAGTTGTTTGTTTGGTTGTTCAAAGGCCTTTCTTTTATTTGCTTATTTTTGTCATGTCTAAACCTATTCTATAGATGTCCATGCCTGTTGCTAGCAGGGTGGTAGGTATTAAGAAGGGGTATAACTTATGTAGTAAAGTGTTACCCAGTACTATTTTTCACTTCTTTTGTTCGCTCCTAAACAACTGGGAATGAGCATATTTGCAGCAATTGAAGCTTATTTCAACCAGAAACTCCTCTCAACTGGCATAAAGTGAATGGAGCATTGTTCTTCTGATTGTGTGAAACAAAAAGGAACAATGTAATACTATGTCTCCCGTTGTACAAATCAAACTGTTGGTCTTACCAATAAGGGATCTTTTGATTTATAATCTAGTTAATGACATTTGAGATTATAGTGCCGAGATTGTTAAAGGATTAACAATAACTGTTATGCTACTTGTAATAACGCAAAAGTCGTTGGGTAATTAATAATAATAATACATGGACTATTATACGGCAAGTGCCTTGGAGGAAAATATTTTCCAAGTAAGTTGCATCAAATTTTTGAAAAATATTCTCTAAGAAAAATAAGTTCAATAATTAGCCCCATCCCCACAACCCATTGTATTTCCTATGCAAGGACTTTTGGGGGAATATTTTCTTACTTACCAACCACTTAAAAATACGAAAGAAAAATCATTCTTCTTAATGCTAAACATACTAAGCAAGATTTTGTACTGGAAATTGAACACTATAAATCAGATGAAATATCTTACGGAGATTATGTCTTATCCTTCGATGCATACAATCTCTAGGTATGCAAAAATCCTTTCACCATATATTTTCTATTAGAGAATCAACACAGCCAGGTATGCAAAAATCCCCACCTGGAAAAGTTGGGGCTGGCTTGTCCCATTTTCCTTTTCTTTCACAGGCTAACAAAATACTACACAAAATTATGAAAAGTTTTGCCTTATTAGTATTAGCCACTCCATCCTGGTAATGAAGAAAGTGCCTGTAGTTTCTATCTCTCTGTCCAAATCCTGCCTCAGTGCCAATATCAATAAACAGTTCAAGTCTCAAATTTCAAGAGGAAAAGATAAGTTCTGCATAGATGACTTTCCCTCCAGGAATGATAAGCTAAGCTGAATTATCCACGGACTCCAATCAATTCAATATCAAACACCAACCATGAGTTTGGTGGGATATTCTCCCCAGCTCCCTCACTCCCGTAGCTGCAAAAACAGGAATAGCAAGAATTAATCAAAGTTAGAAAAGGAAGTTACATGTGCATCAGCATGCGCACCCAGTAGCAGAGTAAAGATTCTGGAGGGAGGAACTTATATTGGGACAGTAATAAAGAAAAGGATTGAGGGGAAGCTGGGAGAGGGATCTCGTGTCTTCAAATAAATTCAGAAAGCAAATATGCAGCATACCCTATTGATGGTGGGACTGTGAGCCTTCTTTTATCACCCACACGCATGCCTGTTATGGAAGACACAATATTATATTAGCAGCTGCAGCTATTGAAGAAAAGAATTAAGGACATATCAAATCTACTCATCGCCATCCTTACCAGCAAGACCAAGGTTCCATCCCTCTATGACGTCTTTATCACCTTCAAACAATAAAAAGGAAAAATCAGAGTTTAACAAAAGTCCATCAAAACAAAATAAATTCTTCCAAGAGTCCTGTGAATACCTAGACGAAATTTATATGGAGATTTTCCCATATTTGTGTAAAATATCTGCCCATTCTCCTTTAGCTTGCCGGTGTAGTGAACTTTGATCTGTGCAACAGTTTGAACAGCAGAAAAAGTTGAGACTCTATTTTTCCTGAGGTAAAGTCGCCTAAATTCATAGTTCGAGATATCCATAAATTCTCAACTAAATTACCTTCTTTCCTGGAGCTGCCAATTTTCCACCAGGTTCACCCACAGCGAGCTCTTCAATGGTCAACCCATTAGACAAGGTCTTTATTACAGTAGACTTGACCTTCAGACTCTTGTCCTCAACATCCACGGATTGTCTATTCATTTCATTCTCTTGCAGAACAGGAAGATCCCTGTTTACCAAACAGTCATCCTGAGTTTTCGTCTTCTTTTTCTTCTTCTTTTTAAGTTTCTTATCCGATTGGTGTCCATCAGCCACAGAGTCAGATTTTCCATCTACACTACTACTGCATGCATGGATGGTCAAAACGTTATAACCAAATATAGTCCCTAAAACAATTTCTAGAAGGAGGCGTTGGCATGCAATCTTGCCTAGAGAATGCAGGTATAAGGCAAGTGCATGATATCAGAGTATGTACATCAAAATTGGCAATAATGACATATATCTAGTACTCCCTCCGTTCACCTTGCTCGTCCACTATTCCAAAAATAGATTCACTTTTACTTGTCAGTTTCAACGTATCACGAAAAGACAATTTTATCTTTTCCTATTTTACCCTCAACATTAATTACTTATTCCCCCAAAATCATTTCCCAAGACCTAAGACAACACATCAATTAATATGAGTATTGTGGTAAACTACTCATATAATCATTGTTTCTTAAGGGCGTACAAGTCCAAAATGGACAAGTAAAATGAATGGAAGGAGTAGTTCATAGCAGATTTAGTTTTTCCCAACCTATTTCCCCTCGACAAAAGAAAGAGTTTTGATAAAGGTAGGGTCCCCTTTTTAGGCAGTAGGCAGCATTGAGATTTGGTGCAGTTTTCAAGAAAACAGCGCAGCTAATTAAACATTAAAAACTCACTTATTGATGGTCAGTTTTTGATCTTCTTCATCTATTGCAATTGCAATTGGATCCTCACCCAGGTGACCAGCTTTTAGAGGATCTTGTTTCAGTTGATCCTCTTTAAGAATGACAGCAGAGTCTGTATCATGGTTTTCAACAGATTTGGCTTCCACAGAATGCTTTCTTTTCTTTGATTTTGGAACATGATTAGAATCCTCTTCCGCAAGGGGCTCCAGAGTATCAGATTGGCCATCTTTCCTGCCAGAGCATATAGCTTGAAAAAAATTAGAAGGGTAATGAGGTGTAAGAAAAAACTTAAGAGAAACTTGATCAGTACATATTTGGTGGATAAACTAGCAATCTGAACATGCGTAAGAACAAAAACAGAACAACTTCATACAAAAATAAAGCAACATCTTACATATCAATTGTCATTGCCAACCCGACATCCACCAATTTTGTTTTATCCTCTTTGTAGTCCTTCTTATCACTGCTGGTATTTGCTTCAAGAAGTTTACCACCATTGCCCTCAGGCTGTTTCCTCTTCTTCTTTGAGTTAATGCTGTTTTCATGTCTGTGTTCAATAAGACGGAGCAAAATAAGCAGGAAGAAGATTAGACCCTGTGCTAGAGGCAAGCAATGTTCCCTTAAATGGACAAAATAAAGGAGAAGATCATTCCACATGAATGCATTCCCACAAAGCAGAGAGGATAACATGCACTTAGAAGGAATAGCTTCTAGTCATTTTTCCTTTTCAGGATTACTCAAGGCTGACCTGCCAGATGCTATTCATCTTAATTGTTAGCTTACTTTTGTAAACAATCATGAACTGGCAACAGTTCTACATGCCAACAATGGATATAAGAAAAGAATAGTTTAAAATATTCTTCAAGGTAACACTCAAAGCTAAGAGAAAATATCAAATGATTCAATGTAAAATTTCCTTTGGTAAGATCGGGTACCTAGGATGGATAATAGACCAATTATACATTGAAAACTTTCAGCAAGGCTTCGTGGGGTTCATGAAACAATCCAGATCTGAGAAAAGGTGGTTTTCAAAGGAGAAGATCCTATCATACTAGATACCTTAGTTCCTTATAAAGCTTATAATGGCCCACGTCCAAGACCAAAAAGTTACTGCAATCACAGAAATCAGTAGTTGCCTCTGTGCAACTTACTTGGCTTTTTTAGATTCCACTGTGCCACCATTTTCTGTCCTATAAGGAATGTCAATCTTTTGATTATCTTCTGATGCTACAGCCTTCACGTCTGTTTTCTTCTTAAGAGCAGATAAGAGACAACTATCTTCATCATCGCTTTCCTGCAATATATCCTCATTTTCGGACTCACTTACTTGGTACTTCTTCCTAAGCCTTTTATTGCCGCCATTGTTGTTGTTAAGCTTATTGTCTGACACATTCTCATCATCTTCTTGAACTGAAAACGCCAAAAAGTCAATCAGAAGAATAGAAATGCAGGATGTATAAAGATATGAGACACTAGCATTCAAGGGTGCGGCCTAACTATCGATGAAGGAAACCAGAGTTTAAATCCAAATAGGGGTAAAGAAAGCTAGGGAATTATTAGTAATCTTCCTAATCTTGGTAGACAAAACTACCCAGTTCCTATACTAGTAGGAGATGTGGGTACCTAGTGGACCATTATCAGAAAAATAATAGGAGCGATGGAATACACTATTGTGGCAGCCGAAACGGCGGATTCCCCCACTACATTACAATATCTTGCTCCTTATACAGGAGCAGCACACCAGCTGGATCATTTGTATCAATATACTACCAGATCGCGCTGATATGGAGGGAGGCAGAGAGAGGGGATTAGCAGTCTGTCGACTGCCCCCCAATCCCTCTTTTAGGGTCCGTTTGGACATGCAATATGAAATCATGATATACATCAAATTGATATGAAATTGAAATTTTGTTTGGACATGCAATTTGGATTTCTTAAGTTGTATTTTTTCTCATAAATATGAAAGCCCCACAAGTTGTGAAAATCATCAAAATTTCTCATTTCTTGTAAATACTTACCAAATAAGCCAACCAAAGTTCAAAAACAAGATATCGGAATATCCTAAGGCACCGCATTGATGAATTGCATATCTCCATGTTTCTTTTAAAAATAAATTCTTGTAATTACAAACTTCCAAATACACATAATTTTATATAGATCTACTAGTCAACAATAGTAGTAACTAGTTATTTTTTAATATAATCCTTTCACATGGTACGGACAATCAATTCGCACCAAGCATGAGACTTTTTTTGCAAAATTTAAAATGATGGATTTATTTTACAAAAT